TCCATCTTCCCTTATTGCCATCTCTTCCCCTCCCTCCTCCTCCTTCCTTCCCCCACCTGCCGTCTCTCTCCCCTTTGCTCTCTCCCCCTCCCCCTCTGTCTCTTTCTCCTTTCTCCCTGCCATCTCTTCTCCTCCTCCATCTACCATGTCTCTCTCTTCCTCCCCTTCTCTCCCTCTCCTCCCTTCCCACTCTCGCCCCGCTGCCATCTCATCTCTGTCCTCCCCCTTCCCCCCTGCCCCCCAGATCGTCTCCTCAGCCTCCACAGACCTCCAAGACTACACCTACTACTTTGTCCCTGCCCCGTGGTTGTCTGTGAAGCTGCTTCGTCTACTGCAGTGTTACGCGCCGCCAGGTAGGCCCTGTTCCTGGAAAGCTCTGGAAGGCTCCGGAGCAGCCTGGGCCTCGTCTCGGCCCCACGTTAAGGGCTTCTTCTTTTCCCTGGGCCTGCAGGTGGCCCCGCCGCTGGAGGAGAGGAGGATGGGGATGAAAAGGCTTGGGCAGCCCTCTTGGGGCCTTACCTGCCTTTCGGTTATGAGCGGGGCTTTAGTGGGCTGAGGGGAGTTGGGTCATGGGGTGCAGTCCTTCGAGGCCACGCTCGGGGGGAGAATGAGGGACAGCCAGTGACCCTTCCCTGTCTCCTGCGGGCCCCAGAGGATGCCGCGGTGAAGGGGCGGCTGGTGGAATGTCTGGAAACAGTCCTGAACAAGGCCCAGGAACCCCCCAAGTCAAAGAAGGTGCAGCATTCCAATGCCAAGAACGCCGTCCTCTTCGAGACGATCAGCCTCATAATCCACTATGACAGGTCTGGGGGCTGCCCAGGCTGGGGGCTAGGGAAGGCCCGGCCAGGATGAGCCGTCACCCTCGCCTCTCTCCCTGGCCCCACAGCGAGCCCAACCTCCTGGTGCGGGCCTGCAACCAGCTGGGCCAGTTCCTGCAGCACCGAGAGACCAACCTGCGTTACCTGGCCCTGGAGAGCATGTGCACGCTGGCCAGCTCCGAGTTCTCCCACGAGGCCGTCAAGACCCACATCGACACGGTCATCAACGCCCTCAAGGTACTGCCCCGGCTCTGGCGGCCTGCGCCCCCCCCCCCCGCCTCCCCCCCGGCATTTCCCGCCCCTCGGCCCTCACCGTCTCCCCGTCCGCCCCAGACGGAGCGCGACGTCAGCGTGAGACAGCGGGCGGCCGACCTCCTCTACGCCATGTGTGACCGTAGCAACGCCAAGCAGATCGTGTCGGAGATGTTGCGCTACTTGGAGACAGCCGACTACGCCATCCGGGAGGAGATTGTGAGCTGGCTCCCTGGCCCGGCGGGGACCCCAGGGGCTGGAGGCCAGGGAGGGGGCCGCCTCACCCACGGGGTCCCCGCCTCGTCCTCGCCAGGTGCTGAAGGTGGCCATCCTGGCCGAGAAGTACGCGGTGGATTACAGCTGGTATGTGGACACCATCCTCAACCTGATCCGCATCGCGGGCGACTACGTGAGTGAGGAGGTGTGGTACCGCGTGCTCCAGATCGTCACCAACCGGGACGACGTGCAGGGCTACGCGGCCAAGACTGTCTTTGAGGTCGGGCCCTTCCCCTCTGCCTCCCCCTGTGCCCTTCCCCCCCCCGCATGTCCCCTGCCCTCTGCCCCCAGAGGTCATGCCGTCCTCCCCTCCTTTCCCCAGGCCCTCCAGGCACCCGCCTGCCACGAGAACATGGTGAAGGTTGGCGGCTACATCCTCGGAGAGTTCGGGAACCTCATCGCTGGGGACCCGCGCTCCAGGTGAGGGCTGCCGGGCCCTCGGGTGGGGCAGGGTGGAAGGGCGCGAGCTCGAGGACCGGCGGTGCCAGCGGCCTCTCGCCCTGTGCCCACAGCCCCCCGGTGCAGTTCTCGCTGCTGCATTCCAAGTTCCACCTGTGCAGCGTGGCCACGAGGGCGCTGCTGCTGTCCACCTACATCAAGTTCATCAACCTGTTCCCCGAGACCAAGGCCACCATCCAGGCGGTGCTGCGGGCCGGCTCCCAGCTGCGCAATGCCGACGTGGAGCTGCAGCAGCGCGCCGTCGAGTACCTCACCCTCAGCTCCATCGCCAGCACCGACGTCCTGGTCAGCCTCTGTCCTCGGCTGCCAGATGAGGGGGCGGCGCTGGGGTTGGGGGGTTTGGCCCCGGTGGCAGTGCTGGGGGTGGACTGAGGTTGGGCCCAGCCTGGGACCCCCATCCAGCCTACCCGGGCGTGACGCTCCTCTCTGCCACCTCCCCCCCCCAGGCCACGGTACTGGAAGAGATGCCTCCTTTCCCGGAGAGGGAGTCATCCATCCTCGCCAAGCTCAAGCGGAAGAAGGGCCCCGGGGCGGCCAGCACCCTGGACGACGGGCGCAGGGAGCCGGGGCCTGGGGGCGACGTGAACGGGGGTGTGGAGCCAGCCCCCAGTGCTGGGGTAGGAGCCGGCCGGGAGGGAGGGGAGGTGGGCGGGCCGCCCCGGGCCCCCAGCCGTGCTGCATGGGCGCCTTCTCTTTGCAGTCTACACCCTCGCCCTCCGCTGACCTCCTGGGGCTGCGGGCGGCCCCTCCCCCTGCAGCCCCCCCAGCGCCCCCCAGCGCGGGCAGCCTCCTGGTGGATGTGTTCTCTGACAGCCTGGGGCCCAGCCCCGAGGAGGCCTTCCTCAGGTACTTGGGGCAGCAGCCGCCCCAGCCCTCCACCTCCTCCTCCTCCGGGGCCTCCCACGCAGCCCCTCGCCGGGGGGGCCGCCCCTCGCCGGGCACCCTTTCTGTCGTCTGAGTCCTAGGCCCCTCCTCTCTGGCTCCCTCTGTCCTTCCCTCCCGGCGTCGTCAGTCAGTCCTGTGCTCAGCCTGCTCTCCTCTCTCTGCCTCGCTGCCTCCCTGGGATTGGCTGCCTGCCCTGTCCTTCTCCCGTGTCTGTCCTGGGATTGGACGGCCCAGTGAGCTGGAGCCCCCGGCCCCTGAGAGCCCTAGGGCCTTATTGGCCGACCAGGCTCCAGCTGCTGAGTAAGGGGGAGGGGGCCGGAGACCCGGGGGCCTGCGGGGTGGGCACGAGGAAGGGGCCGGGAGGGCCCGGGGTGCCCGGGGTGCCCGGGGTGCCGGGGGCGGAGGGGGAGGCCCTGGGAGGAGGGGAGCCCAGCGTGCTTTGTTTTTGTCTTCTCTTCTTCTTCTTCCCCGCCCCCCGCCTCATCTTTTCCCTTTCCTCCCAGCCCGGCTGCTGAGGACCCCGGCATCCCCATCCCCGAGGCTGACGGACTTCTGAACAAGTGAGTGCTGGGGGCCGTGGGGAGGCAGGGCTTGGGCCCAGAGCGAGGCCGGCCCTCGCTCAGGCCGGCCCTGTGCGTCCGCAGGTTTGTGTGCAAGAACAACGGGGTCCTCTTCGAGAACGCTTTGCTGCAGATCGGGGTTAAGTCCGAGTTCCGGCAGAACCTGGGTGTGTGAGCCTGGCAGTGGGAGGGCATGTGGGAGGGGGTGGTCAGGGAGGGCAGCAGTGCCCCCGAGCCGGGCTCAGAGGCCCCTTCTCTTCCCAGGCCGCATGTACCTCTTCTATGGAAACAAGACCTCGGTGCAGTTCCAGAACTTCTGTGCCACTGTTACTCACCCTGGGGACCTTCAGACTCATATCCTTCTCAAGATGGCAGCCCCGATTCCAGGCTCCCCACCTGTCCCCATCCCCTCCCCTGCCCTGCCGTGTGACATCAGCTCAGCGCCCCCCCCCCACTAGTCCCTGCTGCCTGCTCAGGTTTCCTTCCTTAACGCGTCTGGGGTGCACAGCTGGTGGTGCAGACCAAGCAGGTGCCAGGGCAGGTGGATGGGGGTGCACAGGTGCAGCAGGTCCTCAACATCGAGTGTCTGAGGGACTTCCTCATGCCCCCCTTGCTGACTGTGCGTTTCAGGTGAGGGGCTGGGGCCGTACTGGGGACAGGGCCGGGCGTGGTGCGCAGGCAGAGCCGGAGTGCACAGCCTGGGCCCCCCCTGCCTTCCTCCTGTGCAGGTACGGGGGCACTCCTCAAGCCTTCACTCTCAAGCTCCCGGTGACCATCAACAAGTTTTTTCAGCCCACTGAGATGGCTGCCCAGGATTTCTTCCAGCGCTGGAAGCAGCTGAGCCTGTGAGGGGCAGCTGAGGGTCTGGGGTGGGGATGGGGGGGGGGGGGGGAAGTGGGTACACGTGTGTAGTCTGGAGGCCAGCCCCACCTGGGGCTCAGCCTGGCTTCTGTCCCTCTCGTCATTTTCAGCCCCCAGCAGGAGGCCCAGAAAATCTTCCAAGCCAATCACCCTATGGATTCAGAGGTGACCAAGGCCAAGGTGAGCAAGCAGGGCCCCTCGGGGTCAGGGGTCAGGAGTCGGGCCTGGGGCCTAGGAGCCATCCTGCATTTGCTTTCTTTGCATTCGCAGCTCTTGGGCTTTGGCTCAGCCCTGCTGGACAACGTGGATCCAAACCCGGAGAACTATGTGGGGGCTGGGATCGTGCAGACCAAGGCCCTGCAGGTGGGCTGCCTGCTGCGGCTGGAACCCAACGCCCAGGCCCAGGTGAGAGAGTGCGCCCCTCCTCACCCGACCTGTTGGGGGGGGGGCTCCCAGTCCTGCACCTCATCCCCCTCCCCGACCCCTGCTCCTTGTCTCCTGGCCCAGATGTACCGCCTGACTCTGCGGACCAGCAAGGAGAGCGTATCTCGTCACCTGTGTGAGCTGTTGGCCGAGCAGTTCTGACCTGGGACCGGGGAAGGGATGGGAGGTGGGGCCGGTGTGGCGATGGGCTCAGCTCCCTGGGAGTCTGGGCCAGGGGCTCCAAAGCTCTGGGGACCAGGTGGCCTCCAGGTGGCAGAGCCCGGCCTCCTGGCCAAGGCCTTCCCCGTGCCCTTTTGTATCTATTTTTGGATCTGCTGCTGTTTACAGTGTCGGGGCCCCCTTCCCTAAAGCACAGAGGGGAGGGGGCTCGGGCTGTCCCCTCCTCTGCCCTGCCCCTAGCCCACTGTGTATTAATGCGAGTGAATAAAGAGATGCGACGCTGGGGCAGTGGCAGGTCTGGGCCCTTTATTGGGGTTTAGAGGAGTGGCGTAAGAGCGTGCAGAGTCCGAGTGGCCAGACCCCGCAGGGCGTATGTTGGGCTCCGGGCACTCACCAGCAGCAGGAGGCGGCGGGGCCCTGCCTGCACTGCCACCAGCCTGAGCCCAGCCCCGGGATCCTGTCGGCCCTGTGGCCCTTCCGCAGCTGCCCCACACACCACGTAGCAGGCCCGTGGAACCCCCGTGGGGCACCCTGGCTCCTCGGCCTTTTCCTCTGAGGAGAAAAGGGAAAAAGCTGGCTAGAGATCTGGGGCTCCCCCCTCCTGTGCCCTCCCTGCGAAGCCTTGGGCATGACTGACCTGGGGGGAAGTGGGTGGCAGTGACCAGCACGTAGAAGGAGCGGAGGAGGCGCCGGCGGGCACTGGGAGAAGGACCTAGTGGGGAGAAGGCAGGACCTCGAAACTGCCTCCTGCCCCACTCCTGCCCCCTGTCGCCTCCCACCCTATGCTTGGTCACCCCGTGGCTCACCTTCCTCTCCACCAAGGTCCACTGTGAAGAGGCCACGTCTCTGTTCCAGGTGCAGGAGAAGGAGCCTGGGGGGGGGACCCTATTACCTCATGGTCCTGGGGCATGGGCTTTAGCCATCCAGGTCCTGGCTCCCCTTTCACTTACCCCAGAATGTCAGGGTGCAGGGGGAAGCCTGCAGGAATGCCCCGGGGTGTGAGGGCCAGGCAGGCCCTCAGTGGCTCCAGCAGGGGCTGCCACCAGCGTTCCAGGACCTGGGGTGGAATGAGGGAGAGAGGCCAGGGTCGAGGCCTGCGCCACACTGTCCTGGGATCATTAGGTGCCTGCAGGCCAGTGGCTCACCTGAGGCTCCACCTGGCTCAGGGGCGGCTGAGGCCCACAGAGCACACACAGCTCCAGGCCGGGCAGTAGCGTCAGCGTCAGTAGCCGGTGAGGCACCTAGCAAAGGGGCAGCTTAGGGGATGAGGGGAGAAGCCCCCCAGGCCCTTTCCCTAGGCCCACCCAGCTACTCACTCACCATGGGGCTCCCGTGGGGCAGATAAACAGGGTAATCACGAGCGGCCTGGAACGGGAGGGTGCCCACAAGCCAGGGCAGCAACACTGCCTCTGGTGCCCCGAGGCGCCACCAACCTTCCGTCCCCACTACCACCCGGCCGCCTGCCACCAGGCTGGCGAAGACGCTGCCCATCTCCTCGGCGAAGCCTGCCAGGGCCTCCTGAAGGAGAAAGGCCGGTATCAGCGGGGTCCAGCCCTCCCCTCCCTCCCTCTTTCTCCCTGTCATCCCCCACCTGCAGCAGCGGCCCATGTGTGGGGATGATGCAGTCCACGCACTGGGTCAGGTCCCCGGCCAGCTCTGTGTCCACCAGGAGGCTGTCGATGAGGCCATAGGTGGCCTGGGGAGAGAAGGACCAGGCGGAGCCTGGGGTGCCAGCCCCCTGCCCGATCCCGGCCCCGCTGCAGCCCCAGCCCCCACCCCGCTCACCCTCAGGTCCTTCTTCAGCCTTTCCACGTTACGGATTTTGGTCAACTCTTCAAGGCCAACCAGGAGGACCTAGGGACAGATATTGTGGGGGCCTGGACACCCAGGCCGTGGGACAGGGGCAGGGCGGGAGGGGAGGGGTCCGCACCCGCTGTTCATCTCACCATGGCCCCAAACACCAGCTCCAGCAAGCGCTCCAGTCTGAGCTCCGCACACCCCAGCTCCGAAGACAGCACGATGAGGGTGATGCTGGAAGAGGGAAGGGTCAGGCGGGGGTCGGGACCCTGCAACCCCAAAATGCAGCCCCTGCCTTGGTGCCGGTGTTTGTTACAAACGGGGAAACTGAGGCGCGCTGGGCGGGCGCCGGCCACCAGCCAGCCCACCCGGGGGCAGCCGACCCCATCCATTCCCCCAACACGGGGTTCCTGGCCCGGCCCACCTGTCGTGGAAAGTCTTCCAGACCACGGCCGAGTCCTCGGTGCGCGCGGAGCGCAGCGTCACGTCCAGGTTCTGGCCGAACATGTGCACGCCATTGAGGGAGCCGATGATGGAAAAGGGCAGCTGGAAGGGGGTATGCGGGTCAGGACGGGAACCGAGTGCCTGTGGAAACTACAGCTCCCGGCAGCCGCTGCGCTCGCCGGGCCTGGGGTCGCCGGCGCCAGGCGCAGAGCCTGCCGGGAGCTGTAGTTCTCTCTCCCTCCCCCACGCCTTCCCGCTGCCGCCAGGGGCCGCACCTGCTGCCGGGAGGGGGCACCTCCGCGGCTGCTGCGGCTGAATAGAGGGACTCCGCTGGAGGCGGCGAGGCAGAGCAAGTGCACGGCGCCCGCGGCGCTCTCCTCCGCCATGCCGGCCTCTCGAGGCGGCCGAGGGGTCCCGTGGGGACCGGCCACGCGCGCTGCAGCCCACGGGGACAGCGTTGTCTACTTCGCTCCGGAGAGCGGCCCCGCTTCCGCCGAGTGGCCGGAAGTGCGTGCGCCCCTATCAAAGATGGCGGCGATTCGGTCCCGTTGACTTCCGCCCGCCACACGTGTGTGCCCCCCGCGGTGGTCTCGGGACGATGGTGCCCTCTTCGTTTCACACGCAGCTCCGCTTCCGCCCACAGGCAGGAAGTGCGCGCGCCCCAAAGAAAGATGGCGGCGGCCGGCGTTCGTAGGGCCGGGCGCCCTGCTGCCCCGACAAGCTCCGGAGTCACTTACTCTGCTGGCAGCTGAGCTCCCTCCCTCGTTGTCCTGTGATTCTTGGGCGCTCCTTACCTCCCTGACCCCTGGCCGCTAATTCCTGACCTCACCGGGTCAAGTCGTGGTGCTGGTTCAGAGATGGCGACGGCTGAAGGGGTTGCCTGGCAACCACCCTCGTTTTCGCTGCGCCGGTGACGTCACCGGCGCCCAGGACGGCTCCTGGGCTCATTCCTGCGGGCAGCGCCGGGCCCGGCGGGGGGCGCCGTCCCTGGCGGGGGGGCCCCGGGCTCCCTATTGTCCCCGTTTACACGTTTTAAAAACAGAAATGGGTGCTGTACTTTGTCGGAAGCTTTTTCTGCATCGATTGATGTCATCAGATGATTTGTGTTGGTTTTCTTATTAATATGGTTAAGTTAATAGTTTTCCTAATATTAAAGCTACCCTGAATTCCCCATTATAATGCCAACCTGGTCATAATGTATGTAATCTTTGTCACATGTCATCCGCATTCATACCATCTGTACCACTGCGGTTTAAACTTTTGATTAAATGAATGAACGATAGAGCATTTTATTAAGCCCTGCGACCAAAGCAGGGCACTACAGATATAAAAAGTAAGACCCTCTCTGCTCTCCAGGAGCTCACAGCCTAATGATGAGAAGCCAATACACGGAAGCTCCCCGCCCCCACCCCCAGTCAGATGGAAAGTGCCGGTGGTGCTTAGGATGCGTTTGCAAAGCTGAGGGTAATGCCTCTTTTTTAAATGTAATGTGCGTTGATAAAATCAAGTCTAAAATCATATTTTCTGATTTGACTGCGTACCAAGGGCTTTATCGGCAAGACCTTCCTATTCTTGGTTGAGATCGAAGCCCAGAGTCCCCTGTGAGATCCCTCTCCTGGAATCCTGGGTCGTCCAGAGCTACTCCTCCTTTGCCCTTCGGTCACTGAGTTCAGGCAATGGCTCTGGGTGTAACATGCTATAATCCCTGATTTTGGACTTAAGACCTGCCTGTTTCACAGCACTCCCCCCTCCTCCCCCCCCCCCCAAAGCCCCAAATGAACCACACTCCTGAATCTTAAAAGTCTGAGGGGTCCAGAGCTTTGGGGGAAGGATGCCTACCTCTGAATGGCTCCTCTGGCCCACGGTGGTAGTAGGGAATCTACTTTTCTCTGTTTTCTCTCGGCCAAGAATCTAATGGCAAAGGGAACCTGCCTTCAGCTGAGGCTAGGCCAAGAGCCACTACCTCAGGAGGGGGTTTTATCCAGCCTACGGTCACATATCAGATGTCTTCCCAGGGCAGCTAAGCTGGCTCCTGGCCCGGGCCCATTACCCCAGAATGTGAGACTTCTCCTTGTTTCCGTCCTGCTGGAGCAGAGGCCCCTGGGTCCAGGGGAAGCCTGTGGCCTTCCAGGGTTATTCAGGAGTACATCACCTGAAGTCACTTCCCTTTACTTTGTATGGCTCTACCCTCTTCCTCAAGAAAGTTTTCTTATTCCCCACCTAGGTGTCACAGGGGCAAAAATGCTGAGTTAGGAGTCAGGAAGACCCGAGTTCAAATCTAGCCTCAGGTACTTCCTAGCTGTGTGACCGACCCTAGGCAAGTCACTTAGTTTTTGGCTGCCTCAGTTTCTTTAACTATAACACGAAAATAATAACAACACCTTTCTCCCGAGTTTTTTGTGAGGATCAAAAGAAATTATATTTGTAAAGTGCTTAGCACAGTGCCTAGCATACAGTAGGCACTTAATGCTTGTTTCCACCCCTCCCGCCTTCATATTTTCTCTAGCAGATTGCCTTCACTACCAACCTCTGTATCTCTAACCTTCAGTCTCTTCCTATCTACTGGTTTCTTCTCTGATGCCCATAAATACTCCAAAGTTTTTCCCTCAAACTATTTAATTGAATGAACATTTATTAAGTACCTACTACCTGTCAGGCACTGTGCTAAGCTGCATATGGGATAAATTGGAAACAACAGAGGAAAGGCACTGGAATTAAGAGGTATCGGGGAAGGGTAGAAGGTGAGATTTTAGTTGGGATTTAAAGGAAGCCAGGGAGGTCAGTGGTCCACAGAACAGCCAGGAGGCTGGTGTCACTTTATTGAAGAGCATGAATTGTGGAGTGAGATGGAAGGGGACTGGAAAGACAGGAGGGGGCTGGGCTCTGAAGGATTTTCAATGCCAGAGCATTACGTATTTGCTCATGGAGGTAACAGGCAGGGAGGGGAAAGGGGGGAGTTGACATTGTTAGACCTGAGCTTTAGGGTAATCACTTTGGTGGCTGAATGGAGAATGGATTGGAGTGGGGATGGACTGCAGGCAGGCAGATGCACCTGCGGGCATGAGGTGAAGACGGTCCGCACCAGGGTAGGGGCCAAGCCAGAGGAAAGAAGGGGGCGTATTAGAGATGCTGCAGAGGTGAAATCGAACAGCCTTGGCGATAGCTTAGGGGGCGGGGTGAGAGAGGAGGAGTCCAGGATGCCTCCTAGGTTGTGAGCCTGAGGGACTTCTAGGATGGCGGCGCCCTCTATAGTCATAGGCGTTGCAGGTGAACGGTGAAATGACAGCTTCCCGAGCATTCCGAGTAAGCAATGCATGGCGATTTCCCAAAAAATCGAGACCAATAGCCTTCTTCAGCTTTGGCACTGGGCCCCGAAAACCAGGAGGAGGCAGATTTGTATACATTAAAAACAATCAAATAAAGACTAATTAATTAAACTGAAACCACTAACCAGGATACATTAGGTCATCTAATTTCTAACTGGATGAAAGATAGGGACTTTCCAAGTTGGGAAGGGGAGAGTAAATAGGCAAAATTCTCTGAAATCAGAAAAAGAGATGTCCCTCTCCCCCCCCCATGTCTCTATACAATCAAAGAAACATGAAAACAATAACTGATTGATCAGTATGGGGTTAGTTTTTAGATAAGACATAGGGGTCGCTTGAGATGTACAATTGTGAGAAAATTCCTTGCATTGATCTTTGGATCTGACCAGGTTTCTGATCGGCATAACCTACAGCCTTGGCTAAGGGTGTCTAAGCACTACGGACAGGTGGTCCAGTTTCCTAGCCATGCAGGGCTGGATTCAAACAATACAATGAGGTTTTCTCTCAATTCCTGCAATTGAGTTAAGTTTTCTTACAAGATAGAAACTGCACTAGATCCATAATTGGATATAAAAGGAATTGAGCTAGCTCCAGAACTGAGTCACAAGATGAAGTGAGAGTGATACCCTAATCCTATCACAGGGTAGGTAGGAGTGGGGAGGTTTTAGGGGGAAAGATATCTACTGGATCTCCAGTTCTAAATGTTTGAAAGGCAGTTGGAGATGTGAGATTGGAAGTCAGTGAAGATATTGGGGCAAAAAAGGTAGATCTGAAAATCAGCAGCATGAAGACGGGAGCTGATGAGATCACCAAGGGAAGTGGTATAGAGGGAAAGGAGAAGAGGCCCCAGGACAGAATCCCAAGGGACACCCATGGTTAGAGAGCATGATCTGGAAGAGGATCCAACCAAAGAGACAGAGAAGGAGGAGTCAAATAGGTAAGGGGAAAACCAGCAGGGAGTGGTGTCCTGAAAACCTAGAGAGAAGAGAGTGTTATGGAGGAGTGACTAACAGTGTCCAAAGCTGCAGAGGGTGATGTCAATGAGGACTGAGAAAAGGCCATTTGATTTGGCAGCTAAGAGATCATAGGTAACTTTGGAGAGAGCAGTCTTGTGGAATGATGAGGTCAGAAGCCAGACCGAAAGCGGCTAAGAAGGGGTTGTGAGCCTTTTCAGGGAGTTTAGCTACAAAGTGTTGAAAAGATAAAGGATGAGACTTATCAGGGATGCATTGAGTAAGGGTTTTTTTTTTTTCCAGGAGAAGAGGGACATTGGTGTATGTATAGGCGGTAGGAAACGAGCCAGTAAAGAGACATTGACAATAAGTGAAGAGGGGGATGATTGTGGGGACAATCTGTTGGAGGAGACGGGATGGAATGGGATTACTTGAAAAAGAAGAGGGGTTAGCCTTGATAAGGAGCAAGGCCACTTCACCATGTGAGACTGGGAGGAAGGAGGAGAGAGGGGCAGAAGACACCTGAGTGATAGGAGATAAGGAAGAAGGGAGAAGAGGGAGCTCATGGTGAATGGCCTCACTTGTGTAGACAAAAAGATGACAAATGGTTCCAGATGTAAGGCTGACGCATAAGAGGACAAGACATTCAAGAGAGGACAGGGTAGAGTTAAATTGGTTCGTCAACAAGTCAAGACGGGGAGGAAATGAGAGAATGGCGAGGGCGGAGGAAGATGGCCTAGCAGAGACCTGGAGGGCCAAGAGATCCGAGGTCACAGTAAGGATGAAGAGTAAGGTTATGGAAAAGGCAGAGGGAGAGGTGAAAAGCCAATAGATTATGGTCAGATAAAAAGGATTTTGGAATTCTTGCATACTGAAGTGATACATTTGTGGATGATAGCAAGTTCAAGGCATAGCCATCTTTGTGTGTGGCTGAGGTGGGGTGGACTAGCTCATGGCAGGGGAATAAGTTGAGGAAGTACTCTAGGTATCCTTGAAATGCCCTCAATAGATGCCATCCTTCTTGCTAGCCATCGTCCCAAATCTTTTTTGTCCTTTTCATCTAAACTTCTTGAAAAAGCTGTCTATACCCAATACTTCCCTTTCTTCTCCTTTCACTCTGTTCTATACTTTCTGTAACCTAGCTTTCAGCCTCTTCAATCAATTAATATGGGTCTCTCCAAATTTACCAATGATCTCTTCATGAATTAATATCATGGCCTTCCCTCAGTCCTCAACCTTTGTGACCTCTTTCCTGGACCCTCTTCTTTTCCTCCTTGATACTGTGTCATGGGTAACCTTCTCTATGCAGGCCATTTTCATATCTATTTATACAGTTT